TGCCACTTGGCCAATCCATCTCATTGGGGGTCTTCCTCTTTTTCTCTGACCCTCCACCTTACCAAACATGATATCCTTCTCCAGCAACTGGTCCTTCCTGACGTTGGGCTTGGTAAAGTGGAGGGTCTGTGAAAAAGAGGAAGACCCCCAGTGAGATGGATCTGCACAGTGACCACAATGGGCCCCAGTGTGAGGACAGCTCAGGGACAGGCAGTGCTTCGTTCTGTTGTGTGTAGGGTCACTATGTGTCGGGCTAGATTACATAGCACCTAACATCAGTAGCTCTGGTAGCGTAGTGGTTACGAATCGGACTGTGAACTGCAAGGTCAGCAGTTCGAAACTACCAGCGGTTCCGTGGGAGAAAGATGAGGTGTTCTGCTCCCGTAAAGATTTACAGCCTCGGAAACCATGTGCAGGGTCGCTATGAGTCGGAACCGACTCCATGGCACTTAACAACAACAACAACATCAGCAACAGCAACAGATCTGGTGTGATGCTGTAGGATAGGCCCTGGGCTGCTAACTGCAGGGCCAATGGTTCGATCCCACTAGCCTCTCCTTGGAAACCTTTTGCAGGCAGGGTCACTATGAGTCAAACTGACTGGACGATACTTATCATCAGCAACTTGCATGCATTGTAGCAGTCATATTTTCCCTATTAACCTGGGAACCCATCAAAGATGAACTCTAACACACCTTTGTACCCCTTGACACTGAGACACTCTCGGATGTCTTGCTCACAGTAGGCTCTCTAAAAATAGTTACGACATTTTGATTTTAAGATTGAGAAAACTAAGCCTTTGCCCAAGAGGCATATAAAAATCTTGTTAAATCAAACAGGCTCATGCTAACTATTGTTTTCACTTACTAAAGCCAAACTAGACTTGAATGTTGATGCGTCTTTAGGGAAGATGCCAAATGTGCTAGTAGAAAAATTCCAGCCTCTACCATTTAGCTGGAGAAGGTGAATTAGTTTTGCCATTTTACCTGGTGCCAGCAAAGCGGCTTCCATTATTCTGTCAGTAATAGACTTTTATCCTGCATGATGGAACTTTTCTGAAATGTCTTCTGTAGCACTAGTGTGCTCTCCTCAACGAGGTTTCCATGTAATGTTTCATCAGAGCTGACAGTTCCTTACTCAGAGTGGCTCCAAAGGTGACACAGAGAAGGAAATGCAAGGTAGTTGGCTTGAAAAGAGATCCCAGGGTGTACCAAAAAGGCAACCCAGGACAGTGTATTGTATATTTGAACAATGGCTTGTGCCCCTCATGCTGTGGTGGGGATGGATCTAGGGGAGAGAGTGAGCAAAATCTAAATGACTGTTTTCTTTCCCTTCCTTTCTCTACCTGCCCCTTTTGCAGGCTCTGAAAGTGTTCCAGTTGAAATTTCGGACGAACAGACTCACTCAGTCTTGGAAGCAGTGATTCCAGGCTGCCTGAGCATGCTGCTACCACGCTGTAGGATGGCACGCTTCGCCAGGCCGCTGCTGCTGCTCACGTTCTTTCTCTGCACGGAAGCTGAGAGTAAGGCATTCTCTCTTCTCTGAGGGGCTGTAACTGGTAATGAATGGTGTGCTTGCAGTTGGCACCAGGCTCAAGGCCTCTGAATACATTTCCTTTGGAAGTAAATCCTGAGACACTGTGGGGTCCTCCTTGGCAACCAGCCAGCTTTTGAATGAGTTTATTGATGGGGCTTCCTTGTCATTTCCTCTTCTGTTTATTGCTCCTTTTCTTATGCATCTGAGAACTGCTACTGTATTTTTGCTTTGCTTTTCCTCCACAACCTTACCAACCTGGAGGCCAAGATATTATGAGAGTGCTCCTGTAACTCAGATGGAAGGGTAACCAGTTGGTGGTGCCAATAAGTAAACTTTGTTCAGACCCATTAGAAATGACTTGGTTTTGTGGATATTTCTATGTTTGGAAAAATGCACAATGTCACATTGAGCCCAATTAAACTTGCAAGCCCCTCGTAGCTGTCACAGCAGCTGTTCTCACGTACTGTTTCCGACAGCTGTCCGGGAGTACAGGACTCAAACAAATCAAGCGAACTGACAGCTTTGTGGCTGGATGAAGGGCGTGTTCAGTGCGAGGAGAATTCTGTGGCGGGCACCTCCCAAAGTTTGTGTTATGGGACTGGATTTCTGAAACTGAGATATTTGTCAATTAACTTGCCAGTTCATGAGAAGATAATATCGCCTTTGCAGTTACAGCAGCATTAGCTCTACTATGTTTTCTTGTGTTGATTTTTCCCATCTGGCTTTTGGCCTTTGTGGAGTGAGAGTGGGTCTTATACTCACTTGGCATGTCTGGATTCTTGATGGTGGCTTAGCTTATTGGAGAGTTGGCCATTCTCTTTGGGAGTCCCCAGGAATCATTAAAATGTGTAACATCTGTGTCTGTCTCCTTGAGATAAAGTTTGATTCACACTAAGTATGTTTCAGAGTCCTGGGGTGGCACTGTAAGATAAACACTGGGTCACAAGTTGGTGTCAACTGCAAGCTCAGTGGTTCAAACTCTCCAGCCACTCCTCAGAAACTCTATACAGGGGTGCTATGAGTTGGAACCAACTTGATGGCACTTACCAACAACAGCAAGAGTGTTTCAAAGACCAGGACACTGTGTTATCTTGACTTCTATGTATTAATTGCATTTTGACAATAATTCTCTCAATAACAGCCAATTTCTTTATGTAAGTAGGGGCTCTATTTATAGAAAAAATGCTTTTTAACGAGTAAAGGGAATATGCTCATAGGGGTATAAATATGTGTGTGTGTGTAACATGCATGTTTTGAACATAGCGTTCTCTACTTTATAATATATATAGTCTCCAAATAAGCACTTAGGACTGTTGGTTTAAGGTGAAGCCAAGCAATTTCTAGAATAATGCCAATACGTAATGAACTGGGAAAAGACCCAAATATAAGATGCTCTTGCTACTTTAAAGTAGTTTATGTCAAAACCCATTTTAAAGTTGAAGTCTGTATTTAGTTCATTAAAAAAAAAAAAGAAAGAAAATCAGGCAGATGGCTTTATTTTTTTTCTGTTTTGGCTACAGTGAAAAAGTAAGTTGTTTGACTATTGTTAAGTTTTGGCAAAAGCATATTAAGAGCCTGGAAACCCACTATAATACCAGATGGCACCTAGAGATTTTCTTAATGTTAGTAGATTTGAGGAGTCTTCAAATAATTTGTGGGAAAAGTCCATTATCGTTGCATTGCATTTTTTTGTGAACTTTTGGAAGCCCCTTCCTATAACTATCATATATCCATGAAGCTATTCTTCCAGATAGGTAAAAAATGTTCTGTTCAACAGCTGTACTGTTGCTTATTCTCTGGAAGGAAGTGGCAAGCAGATGTCAAGATTTTAAGAAATAAGTACGATATCTTTTCACAAATAATGCACTCATTATAGTTTTTGCAAATTTAGCAACTGCATTATGAGTTAATCCTCTGCCTGTACTACAGAACCCTGGTGTGGCGCTGTGACTACAAGGTCAGTTTGAACTGCAAGGTTGGTGGTTCAAATCCACGAGCTACTCCTCAGCAACCGTTTAAAAGGTCATTATGAAAGGGAGCTTTGGTAGTGTAGTGGTTATGAATTGGGCTGTGAACCTCAAGGTCAGAAGTGACTCCACGGCACACACATAACCATAACAAAAACCATAAATCAGAACACATGCCACAGCACTAAACAACAAAAACTCTGCATGTGCTCTTATTTATAGGGATGCATTATTTTTGAAAACAACATGCTTTAAACAGAATGAGTTGAAGAAGACCCTTTACCACAGAGCTTTTTACCTTTTCCTCCTTCTGTTGTCCTTCCCTTCTCTCTCTCCCTCTACATCACACTCGCTATGTGTTGCCATCCTATGGAAGAAATTGCAGAACCTTGTTTGGCAATTTTTAGTTAAATTAAGGTGTGTTTACCATGTTGTATGTTTCTGTGAGAACCAGCTCTGAAGTTCAAGGTATAACTTGAAAAAGTAAACATTCTCTCCTAGTCCCTTAGTCTTCCTATTACAACTCAAACGGGAGTGACAGCTGTTGCTTCGTCAAATTTACTTTGCTTCACTTTGCCCTTGTTACTTCAGCTAGATTTAGTCTGTTTTCTCTTCAATGATTCACATGGCTTTGTTGACAAAGCCTGTGTATCCTGAGAGGTCCAGGTGAAAGAGGAAAACTTAGCCATATTTTGGGTCCATTTTACAAAGAAAGGAGGATAGCCAGTAGTAGTCTCCCAGAAGCTACTTGTGGTTGATGGAAGGAAGCACTTGTTAGAGCTAGAAACTAAAGTTTAGTCTAACGAACGATTGGCAAATGGGGTCTACATGGTCACCCTGTTAAATTATGCCAATTAACTCATGTCATTGCCTGAGTGTGAAACAGAGACGAAACTTAAGATATAAGTTGTTATTGTTAAGTAACGTGGAGTTGGTTCCGACTCATAGTGACCCTGCACAGGGTTTCTGAGGCTGTACATCTTTACGGGAGCAGAAAGCCCTCATCTTTCTCCCACGAAACAGCTGGTAGTTTGGAACTGCCGACCTTAAGGTTAGCTTCCCAATTTGTAACCACTATAAACTTGCTTTCTTCCTCCTCACGTGCAGTTAACATTTCTCAGGTGTCTATTACCTGGGCTACTTGTATGTTTCCATATGCCTTCATTAGCCCAGCAAGTTATATCTGTTTCTCCTTTATTGAACTGTTTTTATTGTTGTTGTTGTTGTTGTTATTGTGTTCGTCCAAGAGCTCAAGAGTTATATTTCAAAATTTAATAGGAGTTTATCAGAGCCAGTTGAGCATTTGGGGTAGAACTGAGGGAAATAACGTGATTTCGTATTTTCTTTTTTTTTTCTCTTCTGAAAAAGGACTGTGTGGTGATGAGAGCTTGCAGGGTCTTGATGGAGACCACTCTAATTTACCAGGTTAATCTCATTTGTTCAGCCTCCTTTTGAAATGACTAACTCCAGAGAGTAGAGGAGTCAGGATTATAATCTGGCTGTGGCAAATGCCATCGCGAAGTATTAAGTATAGTGTTGCATTAAGTACGAGCACTCTATGAGCCTTGGTTTAAACTCAGGTTGAAAATTGTGATAATATCCTTTTAGCAGAAAATTACAGTATTTGCCATTTTCAATTTAAAATGCCCTACATATCCCCCCCGATTATCTTTAAAGGTTAAATTTGTGTCTGGCGCTTGTTTCTGTTCATGCCTGGGTCTGGAATACTTGGAATGCTTTTGTGTGTTGTATCCTGAATGCATGTTCACATGGTAGAGTTGTGGACTCAGGGGAAAGCTAGAGATATAGGTCACATTTAGGAATATGAATAGCTCTTCCTCAGACAGGACCAATTCGTTTTCTGATTTAAGTAGCTACTGAGTCTGATTGCAACTCATTCAGCAAACGACATATACATCAAAGTAAAGCATGGTTTTAGTATCATCTTGGGATGAAATTTTGTTTTTGGATGAGTTTTCATAATAGCTCGTTAGTTTTATTTCACATGTAGCTTTGCTAGTTTGCTATTTCAAAACAGAACTAGATGTGTAGAGCAAGACACCGCTGTTAGCGTCCTTCTGTCAGACCAGTTGTATGCTAAATAAAATTGCTTACATCTTACTGGTTCTTTCCAAACCTTAATTTACCCTATGGCCACTTTGATTGTTCTTGAGTAGTAACTGGTTTTCTGTTAAGAACTCAACTCTTGATAGTTTAAGTCTTCACATTGGTTAGTTCACCCACTTGGTGAACTTCATTGACCTTCCTTATTACCCATAAGGAACCTGGGCTGTAATCACTGCATACAACTCACAATTATTATATACGTGTATCCAGTAGCTCTTCTGTATGTCCCTGGTATTAAAAAAATAATAGACTGACGTCTGTGCAGTACAATAACTTATTTCCTGATAGGGAGAATAAGGGAATGGTTAAGAATGTGTGCTCAGAAGCCAAAGTCTGGATTTGAATTCTGGCTGCTGTTTGATAACCTGGAGCAAGTCACATTATGCTCTATGCCTCAGTTTACCTTTCTTTCAAATGTGGCTGCTGCTACTGCTGTTAGCTCTTGGGTTTCTGTAAGAATGAAATGACTTAATATAGCACATAGAGATCAGCAGATGGAACATAGCAGGTATACTAGAGATATTAGATGTTATTTTATCAGCATTGAAAAATATTCAGATTTTTCAAATTTACTTGTGCTTGGTACCATGGTAAAATTCTTTTATTTTGGTCCACAGGGTAACACAATTTGCATGGTTGATAAGCTTTGTTTTTCTCTTAGCATATTTGAATTCCCAACTTGACTGTCTACAAAATCCTGTGCAATAGCAGATCCTTACAAACCCTTTCCCCCTGGAATTAAACTTCCCTTGAATATTAACAGTGGAAAATATGAAGCATATCTGCATAAGTCCAGCATCAATAAAAAAAATTTTTAAACTTCTTCTAGAATTACCAGTTGATAATTAATTTGGCTTGTTTCTGATGGATAATGGAAGGAGTTCCATTTTTT